CCCCAAAACCCCAAAACCCCAAAACCCCAAAACCCCAAAACCCCAAATTTGTTAATACTTTTAAAGTAGTCATTAAGTAAAGCTAAATCGCTTAATATGCTTTATCTTGTCTCTCTACTAATAACTCAATAAGACTTACCATTTTCTCATGCTCATTCTTGAGCTTGACTATATAGCCTGCGATTTCATCTACAGAATGTTTCCTGCAATCCATTTCAAGGGTGCAAGTAATAAATTTAAGGTGGTCATAAGTTTTCTTGTTCTTCTGGAATAGCATATCAATGGTAACAGGAAGTTTTTCAATGGAGCCTTCTCCCTTCATATACATACCACAAATTTTCAAGATTTCATGCAATATATTCTTGTAATAATTTGTTCTAGAGCTTTTCTTAGTCTCAGAGCTATTTAGAGTAGTCTCTTCTAAAGGCTTAGCAGTAGATTTATGCACAAAATTCACAGAATTTAAAGTTTCTTTCAAGCTATCTATCTCAGCTTCCTGAAGATCGATCAATTTCTTCATCTCTCTACAATCTGTTTGGGACTGGTTATGCTTTTTAATGACCTCAGTTAACTCCTCTTTAATCTGCTTCTTAATCTCACGATATCTATAAGTAATCATAAAAGTTACTTTTGCATAATTTCTTCATTATTTGCTAAATTTCTTCTCTAATTCTCTGATTTGGATCTTAGCATACTCGTACTTTTTCTTGAGCTCGTTTGAACCGACCTTAGTTGTCTTTGAGGTAAAGGAAGGACCTTTTAGGATTAAGGGAGATCTGAGCTGACGCTTACCTTTAGACATACTCAAGGACTCAATAGATTTACTTAATGATTCCAGTAAGATGTTCTTTTGATGAATTTCAGCTTGTAATTGATCTATTATCTGGTTCTTTGATTGTCAATTATAGCATTCTAAATTATTGAAATGCATGTTACTCTCGACTCTTGGAGTTGAGTAATTCTCCAAACTTCCAGGAAGCACTAAAGCTTAGAAGGTTATTTTTACTATCATGATCACTTCCAAAGTGAGTGGCCAAGTGTTTCTCTGAAATATAATTCAGTTTTCTAGGAAGTAAAGGAATTGAATTCATCTGAGAGCCTGGTAAAGTATTATTCATTCCCATAAACTAGAAATTAACCTATTATTTACTTGCATATCTGAAGGCATGTTCTTGGGCGTCATCATTGGCTTTTGCTCAGTATAAGTCATAAATCTCTGATTTGGTGGAGAGTGTTGGACCACTAAAGTTATAACATATAAAGATTACTAGTAGCACCAACTTGATCAAGCTCCTGGTATGGCATATTAAAGTGTCTTGCTAGGGTATCTCTTTCCAACGAATTCTCAACACTTCTACTTCCCTTGGTAGTTCCATTTCTGTTATTATATCTCCCTGAATATTGATTTTGCAAATCACCAACTCTTGGAGGGATCTTTTGGTAAAAATTAGGACTTGCTCTACCAGAAAAATCAGGATTATTCCGGTTCTTCTCGATAGACAGCTGACGAAGTTTAGCAAGGTCCTTCTCAATAGATTTGGCTTCATTCATAAATTCTTCAACTCAGGTATTGATTTGGTTGTTCACCTGCTCGTCTCTAGTAGTTTTTATAAGGCCAGAATCATTAAGAAATTTGCTATCTGGGTTGATACTCTGAATTGTTCTCATTTTTGGATCGTTTAGTCCCCCAATTTTAGGAGATGTTTTGGAGCCAAAGCTCTGAAATCCCATGAAATTATCAGTTTCCTTATGAGGCTTTGGGCTACCTTCATTAATACCTAATTTTTATTACAAATTCATACTTGATCTCCCATACTCAGAGTCAACAAGAGGAGAATACATCTCATCTGACTGGACTAGGTTTGAAACTTCGCTTGTATATGAATCTCCAATGAATCTCTCCGACGGAAGTGATGGAGTATCCAATAATTTTGGAGAATCCTCCATCTTATCCGACTCCTTAATCACTATATCTAACAAATTTAACTAATGAGCATCAAAGTCTCTAATCCATCCAAACAAGGTAAATTCATTTACAAATCTACTAAAATTCATTATTCTTGTTCTCTAAATCAATTTTTTACTTACTGTTCTTTTCCATTATGTATTCAAAATTTAAATAATTCAATACTGAAACATTTATTTGGGGTTTTGGGGTTTTGGGGTTTTGGGGTTTTGGGG